TGAACAGACGGCGTCGGCTCCTCCAGCTCCAACGTATGCCACCGCGCTGCTCGTGGTGGTGTGTTTGCTCATCGCGGCACTGTCGGTCGCGTATTGGTGCACATGTAGAAGGTATATGGTGTCGCGGATGGGCATGCTGGTGCGGCAATTCAGTTCCGGGTCGCATGCGGCCACATTCTGCGAAACTCCCACGACTTCCCCAAGTGCGTGAAGGCTTTCTTGACATGCCGGCAACCGGGGTCCAGCAGACAAAGACAGTGAATCGCGGTGCCATTCAATTTGAATCACGCCGTGCTTGTCGCAACCAACATCCTGGTTCCGTCGTATAGCTTTTGGATGGCAGCGTGGCCGCGACTATGACGCAGCAGTTTTTCCATCACACCAGGCGTGAGCAGCGTGCTCACAAGTGCCGCGTTATATGAAATGAACCAATATATACCGCGCAGTGCCCCCAAATGATCAGGCGACCCTCTCGCCTTGGATTCGTCAACGAATTCACTAGCATGATTTCTGGATCTCCAAAGCCGCCACACCTCGCCATCGCAGCCACTTCGAATCGACAAGGTTTCGATGACGAGCCTTCTCGAGTCCGTGCTCCGTAGCTCCGGCATGGTGAGGTAAATTTCGTACGCGAGAGTGGGCGCTAGCAACGCCCCTCGACATGTACCAATAGCCCAGGAACGTCACGGCGCGTCTCGCCTCCATCTTCCAAATTCCCACCTTCGTCTTGATCGTGATGCGCCATATTGACCCTCGTCAAACCGACAATCTTTCAACTTCACCAGTTCGCCCTACCCATCGACAAACGACGAGTGACAAGCCTATCATGGCGTCAACGATGGGTGCCGAGTCCATCCTTCACTTGTACGGCTGCATTTGGACACTGCGACGTTCGGGGTCGTTCCTGCACCGTTGAATGTGTTCTTGTCGCCTGTGACGCAGCTCACGACGCTCCACTTCCTCGACGTAGCGCGCTAGTCGTACCCCACGCGAATCCATCATGTCGAGGTATTCGTCCGACGCGCGGCCGTTCGCAGTCGTTGCGGGTACGTACTGTTCACCACGCCAAACCATACTTTCGCCCGTCTGTCATCGCCTCTTTGAGTTTAATCCCCGGGACTCCCATCGGGGCTTTCCAAGCTTGTCATGCACGACCGCAACATTCGTCATGATCTGCCTCCTTGTGAACGCCCCATGTGGATGTGGGCATGTGGACTCGTGACACGTGTACGATCATGACAAGAGTGTCTCGATGGAGGAACGTCGACGAAACGTTGAGGAGTAACGTGAATTCAACTAGAACCGACGGAGACTTTGGACAAACAAACTACATCCTGGCGACGTCTCCACCATTCCACGACCTTGACCACCGTCGTGGCATCCAAAGGAGTTTTGCGTGTACACTCAAAATAGCGCATATTCGTGTAACGAATAGCGGGACCGAGAATCGATGAGTGGTACCTCGTTGCCGCCGACCCTGACGCTCTTGGTGCACGTGCTCGTGCGAACCAAGCACTCGATCTGTGCCATGTACTTTGCCATCTCGTTCTTCGTGTACGTGACCGTGTCGCGATCGGATCTCCGCGCTGCACAAATGTACGCTCCATCGGTGGTGCCCATCATTCAAGCTGCGCTGGCCCTGCTGCACATCCTTGGGCTGTATCAATCCGCATGCCGTCGGCATGCATCCCACGGCATGTTCCCCCCTGCCAAACAACAGGACCGTCCCCGCCACCACCGGCGGCGATGGCACTTGTCGACATCGTTCAAACTCGCTCTGTTCCACTGCGTCGACGTCGGGTGCGTTTCGTACCAAGCCTACCGCATGGCGAAATACCTTGTCGATCGCAGGCTGTCGGTCATATACGCTTGCGTCTCGAGTCTCTACTGCCTCGTTACGCCCTGGTTCCTCTTTGTCACGCATGAATCCGTGCGCACGTCGACGGTGCTCTTCCTTAACGCGTTCCTTGGGTTTGTCCTCTCCATCGGGTTCCCCCTGGCAATCTTTGTCCTGCCCGCCGTCCACTACATCCTGGTCGAACCCGCCTTGAGCAACGACGCCAAGGCGGTCACGGCGAACCTTTTGGTCGCGCGGTACGCCGTAGTGTCGTCGCCCGTGGACATGGCCACCAAGGCCCTGCTTCAGCTGGGGAGTTTGCTCAACTTGCGCCGCCTCGCGAGGTCGGTCGAGTCGATGCAGGATGGCGTTACGGTTGCACCGACCATGTCATCCATTCATCCCTCGGCTATTGCAGCCACGGATCTCCAACCGTCAACTCGGGTTTACACGCCCCCGCAGGTATCGAATCAAGGTCTGATCATGGGAAAACGCAACAGCGGCCGGATTAAGTTTGACCTGTATACCCGCCGGCGATTCCTCCAACTCTTCTTGGCTAGCAACTGCGTCTGGGGCGTCGTCCTGGTCGTCATAGCCGTCACAGCATCGTACGGCCGTGAACCGTGCCCGCCGACGTGTGTGCATTTCGTGTCGCCTTGGGCAGACTCCAAGTGCCACTGTGTCCACGTGGAAGTGAATTGTGCCCGTCTCGGCATCGACGGCGACAACGTCACGGAGTATTTGCGCGGGGACTTGATCGGGCCATCGCTGCTCAATGTTGAATTCAGTCAGTGTGCCCTCACTCATGGCATTCCCCTCGCATCGCTCTCTCCCCATGGGGGACTCTCCGGCATCTTCATCTCGCACAGTCAGATGCGCGACTGGGCCATCGACGCTGCATCCGTACACGTCCTGCCCGACACCATCACAGCGTTTCACATCCGCAGCAGTGCGCTTACGGAAGTGCCCGATTTCCTCGCGGTCGCGCCACGCGAGCTTGTCTTCCTTCGGCTCGAAGGATCCCCCATCGACTCGATCCCCGACCGCTTTTTCCAAGCTTGGGTGAACGTGTCGTCGCTGTCGCTATCGAACCTGCTCATTACCGAAGTGTCCATGAACATCACCAACATGCTCCAACTCTCGTGGCTGGAACTACGTGGGAATCGCATCTCGTCCATTTCGACGCGGTGGCAGGTGGAATTGATACGCCACATGCACGGGCTCAAGTGGATTGATCTTAGCGCGAATCTCCTCGAGCTCGGGCCGTGGGACCTCGTCCGTGTTGGAGCGACGCTGGAACTGAGTTCGAATCCGCTGCACGACTGCCCTCCATCGTGGGTGATTGAAACGGGAGCGATCGCGGCGGGAACAGTCGTGCTGGACGACACCCCTTGCTGCAACAGTTCCGCCGCCGTAGCACCCGCATGTCGCCCCAAGTGCGCGCGGCAATGCTTATCTCGTTTGATCCACGATTACCGATGCGACGCTGTGTGCTACCTCCCGTCGTGCAATTTTGACGGTGGCGATTGCGATGGGATGGAAACCTTTCTTCTATAGCTGGCAGGCACACACGCGTGGTGCGGCAAATGACGAGCAAAAGCGAATCAAACCTGCCGGCAACTGTGCCATTCAACACCGCCAGCAGTGTTTGGCCAGGCCATGCCATGAATCGATGGGTTCGTTTGAGCATTATTCGCCACGTTCACCTTATGGAGAAGTTGGCGGCTTACGAATCACACTCCGAGCGAGACGACGTCGATGGGAGCCCCGTGGCACTTGTTCAACATCTTCTCTCGAAATTTTGCTGGTGCTACCAAGACAAGTGCGCCTTTGGATGTTCTGCATTTTCGGCCAATTCTCCATGCTGAAGTGCGACAGCATTGTGCCAACTCTCCGCACAAACCACCTCGGCGCATGGTGATACTATGAGGCCAGGTGATGCTTTGCGAAACACAGGACGAAAGTCGGTTCGTGCGGCTTGTGTATATGGAAGTTGTTGCATCGCCTGGCGGCATCACGACCCGTTCTTGACCTGTACTGGCTTTAATACTCGTTAGACAAAGTAGTGGGCACCATCAAATCGAAACAATTCTGTGTCACACTCAAAGACTAAAGTGGCGGACTAGCTGGTCGCAGTTGCGAATCACGACGCCGCACACCAGACCACGGCACGCCACGTGCTCGGTTGGGGCTGCCACCGACAACAAAAACTCACGGTCCAGCTCGGCAGGAATGGAGGCACAATTGCGCCTATGGAATCCGACATTGGCACATTGCCCCGCCCGCCCTTGCGCTCCGCGATCCAAAAATTGGTAAAAGTATGACGAGGGTGTGAGAATGCTCACGCCTGTATAATCCATCCAGACATGGACGAGACCAGGGACTCATGCAAACACCCCTTTGCATCTATAGCAACTTTCTTTGATGCGGAACAGGCGGGTGGTTAGAACGAGAGGCTTTTCACTGGTGGCTTCAGCCATTTAACGATTGGATTCACCCACCGGACAGAGAGATTGCCGCTACCGACAGCATCCATTGTGAAGGGAAATACGATGGACAAAAGAATGCCGAGTAGAGGTTGTGCACGATGGACGCCCGTGTGGTTTTGTGTGTGGGATGAAGTAAAATGAGGGCGTGTCGAGGGATGCACAGGCTGGCCAAGCTCGCGTACATGATGGCGTGGGTATTGGGTAGCACGAGTTGGAGGGGCGGGTAGCGAGGAGAAACACGGAGTTGATGAGACTGGGGTTCTCGTAATAAAAGTAGAAGTAGAAGAAGTGACGGTGGGCGAAGCCCATCAGTCAGTGTAGGCCAACTGGCCAATGAGGTCACG